TTCCTCGGCTTATGAATGTTCATAGTTCAATTTTCTTGTGTGTGTTCTTTACAGTACCTTGGGATGCCTGAGGTGATTTATAAATGTGTGTAGAGACCAGGTGTACTGCCAGATGTTTATGTCCCTTTACAACACGGCTTCATCATCCCTTCCAATGGAATCCGTGTCTTATATTATTTTTTCTAATAGAGGATCAACTGGACTATTGGGTATTCACGAGTTTTCCCTCTGAAGGTTTTTTTCCTTAATTCACTCTCTATCATCTTGTTTCTATATTTATCATAATGCTAAGTCTTTAAACCTCTCGAAGTACTTTTTAAAAAATTAGAGTTCCTTTCACATTAAAAAAATCCCAGACAAATGTCAACAGTTCCAGGTTTAAATCAATAAAGCCTTACTCACTGCCAAAAAAGATTTTTAATTTTGAAGTGTTACCTACACTCACTTTTTCTCTGTTTCTCTCCATCTCCTATTTAGAAACAGTAAAAAAAGTGGTTTATTATAGCAGCTGTATAAATGGTAATTGCAGATCACTCTCTTAACTATAACTGTAGTAAGAAATAACCTGTAGCCCCAGGGTGAACCAATCTACACAAAACAGACAAAGCAATTTACTGAAGGTCATATAACCAAATGACAGAATGGAAAAGAGAGTGTAACGTGATTTAATTAGGAGTCAGCATTGTAAATACTAGATGAGGGACAGTAAATTTTTTCTCAGTACATCTTAAAATGTAAGGAGGCAAATTCTTGTATATGAAGAGGAAATAAGAAATTAACAGAAAGTACAAAAAAATTAAATTTTATTTAAAGTTTATTTTAAAATTTCAGGTCCTGTGTAAGTCTGTAAGGATCTGAGAAAGTCCATTTGCTAAATGTCCTCTTTAGCAAGTAAATTCTTTGATTTTTTTCACATTAGGCAGACTCATTTTCCAAAGAGTTTTGTGTTACGAAAATGCCTAAATTGCCTCCCTCGGTGAAGCTGTACTTGCATAAGTAAATATTCACAAACTGAGGTCTTACTAACCAACCCGGAGCAGCTGGTGAGATGGCTTACTTGAGGAAGCAAGAGGCAGCATGAAGTGTAGAGATCTAGGACAACACAGTTAATGTAATCATCTCAGGCACAGTCACTGACAGTTCAAATATATATAACTGCATAAGTTATTTGTATATTTAACATTATAAAAACCTAAACAAGCTAAACTTTAGAACCGTTTTCCGAAGTATTTCCTGTTAAAGTACTTTCAAGACTTATTTTTGCAATCAAAAGAAAAAGCAGTTTAGTAGCTATAGGGATGATGTTGAAAAATGACAGGCAGCAGGGAATACAGTACTGATTTTTCTCAGATGAAGTGATTATTAGCACTGAGGAAACAATCAGGAAACATGAAGAGTCAGCATCTTAGCTGCTGTATCCTGAAGACAAGGACAAAATCCTATCAAGTTCCAGCTATAATGAAATATGGAACAGGGTGCCAATGGAAAAAATACCCAAACTCTTAATGATGGCATTGTATCAGCGTCTAAGAGAGACTGAAAGTTAATAATTTAAAAATTCCACACCTAGTGTGAGCAATTAGTTCACTGAAGGATGGAGTGAAAAGTGTTTTCTTTTGTACATATATATATTTTATATTTTCATGTACGTATGTAATGCTTGCAGCATATGGCCACCTAGATGCTAGCTGCTGTGTTATATACATAGCAGTGCTGTCAATGCAATTAGGCACAGCCAGAATTCAGTCTGTTTCTTTGTAACAGTTTCATATCACTGAAGAGACAAAGTGAAGTACATGGTTTTCAGCTTTTACAGCTACTCAATCAATTTTGGTTATTAATACTCAACTGAGTTTTCTCTTTAAACTCCAAGTCTCTGTTGGTGATCCTTGTTCTCTTTAAAATACTTCCCTATATTACCTCTTTACCTGAAGCCGAAGGGGAGATGGGGAAATACCCTAATCTCCCTGGATTAGTCCCTTGCTAAGGAAGACCTTAGCCCTTCCACCTTGGCCTCCAGTGCCCTACCCTAACCCGCCATCATCCGTGGTATTCTCCAAAGCCGCTGACCTCAATCTGCCAGGGCAGGAAGCACAGCCAGCACCCGCGGCAATGCAGCGCTTGAGGTGGGAGCTCAGGGCAGAGCTCCTGGGAAGAGAGAAGGCAAAGCACCTGCACTCTTGTTGTGAATTCACAGCTGGCTGGTGCCAATCAAGGAGAGAGGCTAGGACACAAACCACAGAATTGCAAACATAAATATTTATTCTTACATCTAAAGTGCCCCAGCCAAACTGGGCACACCCCTGAGATTTTGCTTTAGGAGTTTTCCACAATGGTATGATATGAATCACCTAATTACCCACTGGTGCTTATTTCTAATTATCCAATCATAAATGTGGCAGGGCAAAGCTACTCTATTTTTGTACATCTCGCAGCAGCACCCATTAGCATCCTTGTGATTTATGCTAATCCAGATGTTCCTGCATTCAACTTCTGCAAAGTTACCGAGCACCAGCAACGTGAGTTTCTCTTAGCTACAGATCCCTTGGTGAATTTTGGCAAAAAGTTTCCTTATCTTAGCCAACTGTGTGTTCTTAGTAGGGGCAGATGACGCCTCTTGGGTCTTGAGGTAACACTGCAATACGGACCATATACAACCAGCACACATACATAACCATCCACAATACACCAGCAACGCTCCTGCCCTGACGGCTGCATGGTCTCAGCACTTTATGGCACTCCGCCCGGCCCCGCGGCAGCCCAGCAGCGCCCAGCCGGCCGGCCGGGGCTGCGGGAGCACTCGAGGGTCCGGGGGCAGTGCAGGAAGCGGGAGCACAGGAGAACCCCCCGGGAGCACTCAGGAATCGGGAGCACACCGGGCGCAGGACGCGGCTCCACTCCCGCCCGGGCCGCCCGCACCTGCCGCCGTCCCGCCATGCACCGCGCCGCCACCGCCCCGCCCCGCCGGCCCCGCCCCGCGCCTCTCGCCCCGCCCCAGGCCCGCGCGGGCCCGCCCCCTTCCGCCTCGGCTCCCCGCCGGGTCACGCCCCCCGTGCCCGTTCGCGCGCCGCGATTGGCGGCGCCGCCGGCCTTCCCGGGCCGCCCCGCTCCAATCGGCGGCCGCCGCGGCCCGTCAGTCAGCGGCGGGGCGCCGCGGCGGTTGGCGGCGGCGGCGGCGCGGGCGGGCCGCGCTGTCAGTCAGGGAGCGGAGTCCGAAGTGGGGAGCGGGGAGGGAGGGGGCGAACATCTGTCTGCCGCAGCCGGGCCCGGCTGTGCCGCCGCCGCCGCCGCGCGAACGCCCCGCGCCCCCGCCCGCCCCCGGCCCCCGCCCGCCCCCGCGCCCCGCCGGTGCCATGGGGAGCCGCTGAGCGCGGGGCCCGCTTCGCTCCGCCGGCTGCCCCGCTCGCTCCTCAGCCGCCGGCAGGGGGGAGCCCGGGGGGGGCGGCGGCCAGCGGGCGCGGGGGGCGGGCGGGGGGCGAGGCGCGATCCCGGAGCGGCAAGTGAGCGAAGAGGAGCCGGCGGGCGGCGGCGGGAGCGCGGGGACTTCGGGCCGCCGCGCAGTGTGAGTCCCGCTGCCCCTATCCCCACACACCCGCCGCGCCGGGGCCGGGGCCGCTGCGGCCCCGCGGGGCGGGCGGAGTTGGCGGCGGGTCCGGCCGGGGGTGGGCGGAGGGGCGGGGGCAGCGCTCCCCGGGCGGTGGGACCGGCCGCCCCGGCGACGCTCCCGGTTACTTTTCTTTTGTTGCCGCCGTGACCCGGGGGCGGCTTTTCCTGCGCGCCGGGCAGCTGCTTCCTTCCCCGCGGGGCGGCTGCCGGCGCGCCCGGCCACGGCCCGGCCGCGGGTGGGGGCGGCGCTGCCCGCGGGACCGGGGCCCCGGACGGGAGTGTCGGGCCGGGGGGGACACACACGGCCCCGGCCAAAAGTTGCCGCCGCCCGGCGGGGCTGGCGGGGCCGGGCCCGCCGGGAACTTGCTGCGCGCCGCCGCCGCCTCCCCGCCCGTCCCGTCCCGTCCCGGGGGGCGGCGGGCTGTCCCCGCCCGGCGGCGGGCAGGTGACCCGCCCCGCCGGGTACACGCGTGAGTGTCACCGGGGGGCCCGGCGCGGCTCGGGGCTCCCGCTCGGGCGGGGGGGCCGCTCGGAGCCCGCGGGGCCGGGGACCCGCGTCCTGGCGCCGCCGCGGTCACGGAGCCGGGCAGCCCCGGCCCCGGGGAAAGCGCAGTGCGGGAGCCGAGCCGAGCGCTCGCGGCAGTGCCCCGGCCAGGGGAGCCGCTCGGCGGCTCGAAAGGAGCCGGAGTTGGTGCTCGGTGTCACTTGCGCTGCCTTAAACGCTGGAACTGAAAGGACCGGCGGCGGAGCGGGGAGCAGTGAGGTGGTAAATAGGTCCGGTTAATTTCTGCTTTTAAATGAACCCCTGGGCTCAGTAAAACCCCGAGCCGGTGTGGCTTTCTGGGGTAACCCCGTGGCTGGGGTACTCTGTCAGCACGTAAAGCGGACCTCCAAGTTAAGGCAGAAGTGTTGCTATGCTGCACATACAGTAAAGCCCCATATGTTTAGGATTTTCTTTTTTTTTTTCCTCCCTGTTAGAAAGTTTGAAAAAAAGAGACTTTGAAGTATTTTGTTTATACTAACAGAAGAGAAAAGTTCTCCTAAGAAAAAGCTGGTGGCAGGAGTGTAGAGGAGTAGCATATGGCATTAAAAGGAGCACAGCTGGAGGTAGCATTTCCATCTGAACATGATGTCAGAGCAGCTGACAGCCTGCCATCCCTCAGCCTTTTATTCTAACACACAGACAGGGAGTTAGTGTGTGCAGATCTGTGTGTGGAGAAGGTATCTCATTCCTCTCTAACATCATCTCCACTTTGCATCTGTCTCTCCTAGTCTGCTTTTTTTCCACCGATCTAACAGACCTGGAGCCAGCAAGACTCAGAGGAAAGGACTTAATCAGGTTTATGTGTACTAAAGGTAGGAGTAGCAATAGATTAGATACAGCATATTTCTGTTTTGGTGTGTTGTTTATTGAATTTTAGAAAAAAAATCACATTACTTTTCTAACCAAGTTTAGAGGTAATATATGAAATTGAGTATTAAATAGATAAGTGGACTTAGTCAAAAGGCTTGGACTACAGTTGGAGAGTATCAGTTCTTGGGCACATTGTTAGCATTAACTTTAATGCATATTGTGGGAATGTCTTGGTTTGGAAGAAGGAGAGAGCAAGTTCATCCTGAATTTCTGAGACCAAAGCTGCAATGGATTTAGTGGCAAGCCTAAAGAGAGTTTTGCTTTATGTTCTTGTCTTGCATCTTTTAAATTACTTTACAGGGGTTTTAATGAAATATACAAGAGTGTGTGTTTTTACAAAAGGACCTTCCTGGCTAAAACGTGTTTGTAGGGAAGTCTTTCGTTACATGGTTAAATATCCAGTAGCTCAGAAATGTAGTAGCATACAGCTGTAGTGCTTCTGAAAGATAGAAATCAGTTATGTGTTTAAAAACTTTTGTACCCGGGAGAATGGCTTGACTGGTTTCCTCTTTTCTTCCTTGCATGTAGCATTTGAAATCTTTTATTTAGTGTAACAATAATTATTTGAAGGAGTTTTTGTATTTGCGACTAATTTAGAACTTGTAGATTTGAGCTGCCTGAATTGGCCAGACAGCTGTAATCGCACTCCTCTATTCTTAATCTCTTTATCTGGGCAGCAGCTGCCATATGGCCACAGTCAGCTGGATCAGATGTTTATAAGCTTCCTTCTTCGTCCCTCTCTGTCCTTTCAGCCTCCTAATTTGATCACAGCTACCTTGTGAGCTGCCCTCCAATCTTTATTTTTAGCCCTCTTAAGGATTAGGATTGATGTTGGCTGTGGGGCACTTAAAGTGATTGTATTGTAAATCTTCATGCTTTACTCTAGCAATGGTATTTTACAGAATATAGTAGGGGTTGTGTTGTAAGTTTTAGTACATCTTGCTTTGCAAGGGATGAGGGTTTTTCAATAATATCTGCCAGCCTGGAGAGTCACGATCTGCTCAGATGGTTTGGGAGACCATTGCTATCAATCACAGAAGAATAGATTAACATAGGTTTTTAAAAGATTTTACTTTCAATTTGATTTTTGGCTTCTTTACTTCTTTTTTAAGTTTATTTTGTCTTTATCATCAAGGAAGGCAAATAAAAATCACTTGGGTAAGAACAGTACTTGGGATACTCTTTCTAAACGTGGACACATGCTCACGTTGAATGGTTGAATGACTTTTTTTTTTTTTAAAGCTTAGTACTGCAAACTCTGCCTGGTGTGGGAGGGGAGGGAAATTTCTGTCCTTCTGCACTGGGGAAGTGGTGCTGCTCGTTGGCGTTTTGGTTGTTAGCTTTCTTTTGTATATTCTGCATGTTGGCAAAAAATGTTCATGTTCTATTGTACAGTGTGGAAAAGGTTTAAAACCTTAAAAAAACTGTACTTACTACAAGAAGAAAGCCACATGAACTAAATTTGTAAAAATGTCCGTTTTTGCTGTTGATATAAATTGATACACGTAAATATTTTTTGTCTTTTATGAATGTTAGACTTAGGGTATTTAATATTTCTTCATGTGAGAACCTCTCCTCTTACTACAATTTGACTTTTAAAAGAATATAGATGATCTGGTACCTTTTTTCTGCTGCTTTCGTGATCTCTCAAACTTAATGTTTAAAAAAATTTTTTTTTTTTTTGGAGGGAGAGGGGTTTGCCCTCCTAGGGACTCAATCTGGAGGAAGTTCTCTAAAAAAAAAAAACCAAACTGTTGAACAGATTTTATGAAGAGCAGTGATACTTCAAAAAAAATTGCAGATGTACCTATGCGCTGACTGGACCGGCTTATTTATCAGAGAAAGGAAATCATAACTGTAGTGGTCAGTCGGGGAAAGGGTTGCCATCGTACATTTGTGTAAAATAATCTTTGCGTGGTGTCAGTACCAGAATTTCGGCAATACAAACACCGGGTTTTTAGAGTGGAATTACTTGGATTTATAAGTTCTGTGATTCTGACCTACATTTAATTTTTAAAAATTTTGTTGCTTATAGGTTATGAAGACAGTATGGAGTTTCCTGACCACAGTAGACATTTGCTACAGTGTCTGAGTGAGCAGAGACATCAGGGTTTTCTTTGTGATTGCACTGTTCTGGTAGGAGATGCCCAGTTCCGAGCGCACAGAGCTGTACTGGCTTCATGCAGCATGTATTTCCACCTCTTTTACAAGGACCAGCTGGACAAAAGGGACATTGTTCATCTGAACAGCGACATTGTTACAGCCCCAGCTTTCGCTCTCCTGCTTGAATTCATGTACGAAGGAAAGCTCCAGTTCAAAGACTTGCCCATTGAAGACGTGCTAGCAGCTGCCAGTTATCTCCACATGTATGACATTGTCAAAGTCTGCAAAAAGAAGCTGAAAGAGAAAGCAACCACGGAGGCAGACAGTACAAAAAAGGAGGAAGACGCCTCAAGTTGTTCAGACAAAGTGGAGAGCCTCTCCGACGGCAGCAGCCACATGCCAGGAGACTTGCCCAGCGATGAAGATGACGGAGAAGATGAAAAATTGAACATCCTGCCTAGCAAAAGGGACTTGGCGGCTGAGCCTGGGAACATGTGGATGAGATTGCCCTCAGACTCAGCAGGCATTCCCCAGACTGGCGGAGAGGCAGAGACGCACACAGCAGCAGCTGGAAAAACAGTAGCCAGCCCCTGCAGCTCAACAGAGTCTTTGTCCCAGAGGTCTGTCACCTCCGTGAGGGATTCAGCAGATGTTGACTGCGTGCTGGACCTGTCTGTCAAGTCCAGCCTTTCAGGAGTTGAAAATTTGAACAGTTCTTATTTCTCTTCGCAGGACATGCTTAGAAACAGCCTGGTTCAGGTGAAGGTGGAAAAAGAGGCTTCCTGTGATGAGAGTGATGTTGGCACTAATGACTATGATATGGAACATAGCACTGTGAAAGAAAGTGTGAGCACTAATAACAGGGTACAGTACGAGCCGGCCCACCTGGCTCCGATGAGGGAAGATTCGGTCTTGAGGGAGCTAGACAGAGAGGACAAGGCAAGCGATGACGAAATGATAACTCCAGAGAATGAGAGAGTCCAGGTGGAAGGAAACATGGACAGCAGCTTGCTCCCTTACGTGTCAAACATACTTAGCCCTGCTGGCCAAATTTTCATGTGTCCTCTCTGCAACAAGGTCTTTCCTAGCCCCCACATCCTGCAAATTCATTTAAGCACGCACTTTCGAGAGCAGGACGGGATCCGCAGCAAGCCTGCTACCGATGTCAATGTCCCGACCTGCTCGTTGTGTGGTAAGACTTTTTCTTGCATGTACACCTTGAAACGTCATGAGAGGACTCATTCAGGTGAAAAGCCCTACACTTGCACCCAGTGTGGGAAGAGCTTCCAGTACTCCCACAACCTGAGCCGCCACGCAGTGGTTCACACGCGGGAGAAGCCTCATGCTTGTAAGTGGTGTGAACGCAGGTTCACACAGTCCGGAGACCTTTACAGACACATTCGGAAGTTTCACTGTGAGTTGGTGAACTCATTGTCTGTCAAAAGCGAAGCACTGAGCTTACCTACTGTCAGAGACTGGACCTTAGAAGATAGCTCACAAGAACTTTGGAAATAAAATTTTTATATATATAAATAATATATATATAAATCTATATAGTTGTGGTACAGTCTAAAAGCAATCTTGTTTCCTTGAACTGAAAGTTTGGCTATTAGCTTGTTTTTGCACTTTAAGGCAGCATGAATATTTCACTAATTTAGCACTCCAGTAAAAATGAATTGTAGAGGTAATCCGACAAAGTAACTAATTGCGGAGCGTATTTTCCCCCCTTTTCGGAATAGAAGCCAGCGGATACTTTACTTCTAAGGAATCTCCAATTCAAAAAATTTGGACGTGGCTTTATTCTCCCCAAAACACTGCGTTCTTTTAAACTCTTGATCTTTTTCCCCTCTTTAAAATCTGAATGTAGAAATCCTCTCCCAATTTTGTCAGTTCCTTTACATTTCTATAATTGCATGAGTCCTTTCTAGCTGTTGGAAACCTGAATGCTTTTAGACCCAAATGGAAAATTTCTGAAATGCTGGATTATCTATTTTTAAACAAGCGGTTGACTTAAAACTTATTATGGCAACTTCTGGATTTCTGACAGTTCCCACTGGAAAAAAAAAAACACAAAAAAAACCAACACAAAAACATAAAACAAAAACCCTGAGAGTACACTGGGATCACTGGGACTCTGTCTTACGTGAAGGTTTGCTTGGGATGAAAAAGGATATTGCAGCTTCAGCAGTGATGAACTGTGTGTTTAAAAAATGTGAATTACTGTTATTGTATACTGTAATTGATTACATGGGCCGGGGGGAGGTATCAAAGAACTTGGCAGGTTGTGTTGATGCTCTTAGTTGAGTCTTGAAAAGTAAATATTAACGCTACAGAAATGCATGATTTTCAGTATATTTTTGTCTTTGTTTGCATTGTATAACTTTAACGAGTGAGTTGAAAATTATTTAATTTCCTTAGGAAAAAAACCTGACACCGTTGAAAATGCCAGTGTTATAAAGACGAGAAATGCACTGTTTTTATTTTATCTAATTTAAATTTACTTTCCCACTGTCTTTAAGTTGAGAAGAACTTAAGCTACGAGTTGCCGATTTAGCTACGTTAACAAGGAGAAAAAAATTGAATGTTTACAACCAGGCTTCGAGATTTGCATGTGCGGTGTGCATTTACTAACCCCAGACCCCTTCTAATTGCACAGACCCCACGCCAGCTCCAACTGAGGTGCGTCCATTTCCCCAGATGAGCATTTGTAGGATTCCTGCTGCACCACTCCACCACAATAGGTCGTTCTTTTTTTTTTCCCCCCCGTTGAAAAGAGGCTGTGGACTGAAAAAAAAAAGCAGAAAAAGCCCCGGGCTGAAAGGCCTGGGCAGGCCTGAGTGACAGGGGGGGCCGGGGGGGCCGGGGAAGGACTATGCGTATCCAAGCAGCAGAGACTGCAGCCTGACGTGTGGTTTTAATGACCAACACGCAGGTCAAAAGCATTTTGCACAGTGTTTGTTTTCCTGTCTTGCACTTACAAATAAGGTCTATGGGAGTAGCATGGAAAACGTTTGCTGTTTTTTCCTTTTTTTTTTTCCTTTTTTTTTTCCTCTGCTTTTGTTTAAAATTTGATCGCCTTAACTACTGTAAACATAGCCTATTTTTGTGCTTAAGATACTGAATGGAAAACTCCATTGTGTATTGCTGGACTGTTTTGGAAATATTTGGTCAAATGTGTGTTAATTTGGCTGTAATGGCATTTAAAACAAAAAAAAAAGCTGTGAAAATGGCCTTGGAGCGTTATCTTTAGTTACTTGAATAGTTTCTAGGTTTAAAACTACATTCTTTTCTTAAGTTAGAAAAGACAATCAGTGTCTGAGGAAAATGGACTTTCTCTTGGATTTTTTTGTGGTCCTCGTGAGTGATTGCTTTTTTCCTTTCCTTAGTTTCACATTCTTCTTTTGTTCTAAAACTTAGACTGACATCTAGCTTTGACAATCATAGTATGTTTTATTTTCCTGAGGAGGGAATAACTTATAATGCTGTTTAGTTTTGTACTATTGGTGTGTTGGTGAATTTTTAAACTGTGTGCTAACTGCAATAAATTATATGAACTGAGAAATCAATTCCCTTGTCTTTTTTCCCTCTTTTAAATTATAGTTACGGAGTATTTTTTATATTGTGTAACTTTATTACTTTTGTACAGACTTCTATTGCTAACTGTGTATGGAATATGTTTTCAGTATGCTTTTGGGCACTTTGTTGCTACCATGCATATTTACATCTCACTTAACATTTTAAAAAATTAAATGCTTGTGTTTTGAAAGCATTTCTCTGTGTGCAGCTCTTGATCATTCTGTAGAGGTATTTTTTAATAATTATTTTTTACTTCCCCAAAGACTTTTGCAGAAGCAATCTATTGAAATTCCAGAAATTTTGCTGCCATGCAAATATCTGTGCAGGCACACAATTCCCTTTGTAGGCTTAATTTCACTCCGAGGAGCTCTCTTGGGCTCAGTCTCTTGATGTATCAGTCTCTGTGAGAACAGTAGAGCAGAAGGCAACAACTTAATCTGAAGCATTGGCCGGGTGCTGACTGGCTGTCAGTGCTACAGTAGGCAGTCAAAATGTCCAAACTACTGGTAACGCATCAAAGCTGTCTGGACTACAGAGGAAAATTGAAATAATCCTAAATCTTTCGGGTATTTCTCTTACAGACTAAATGTTTCTCTAAAAATAAAAGAGTATAAGCTTAGCTAAACCTTTGAAAAAGACCTGGTTTAGATGCTTGTTGCAGGATATACCCAGAATTCTCGTTTTAAGCTGCTCTATCCTAGGAACGAGACCAGCGCTGTGGAGCCCAATGGGAATACAAAAGTGGAGCTAAATTAGAAGGCTGGAACAGAGACAGCAGGGCCAATTTGATGGGGGAAAAATACTTTAATTTAAACATTTCATTACACTTCTCATCTGCCTAGGTACAACTCAAGTTGTGCAGTGACCAAGTGAATCTCGGTGCCTAAGCCATTCTGCTTCTCTTCCTACATCGGCGGTAATTTGCATGTAGCCAAAATGATCTTTTTCACTGTTTTATTCTTTATAACAATTTTCAGTCACCCTTTGCTGTGTTTGCGGTGTGGGTTTTTTGTGTTATTAAAAAATACTTTGAAAATATTTTCTTCTGTCAATTAGCTCATAGCAGCATCTCTGTTTTCTAGCAGCAGACCTTTTCTGTAGGCTTTCAGAAGAAGAATAGAATATTATGTGTAGTTAAGATGGGTTTAAGTATTGTCAAGACTGAAAGACTGCTAATATTGCAGTGCTGAAATCTGTGCAGCTGATGAGCTTTGGCTGTGGCTCCAGGCAGATTCACCATTTGTTCTCCAACATTAAGATTTTCAAGGATTGTAGATTCCCAAATAAAACTAGACTTAGAAGGAGTCTTTCTTCAGAAGGGAACGGAAAACACAACTTAGGTGTTAGTGACAAAATAATTGAAAATATTCTTTATACTTTGGTTTATCTAGAGATGGTTTGTACGTGTGTAGCACACACTTGTGGCCGTCCAAGTGTTTCTTCAATGAAAAGATGAAACGTACTCCCGTGTGTTGCTTCTCGCCACAGCATTTAATGTACTGACTTACCTAAACAGCTGTAGCATTTTCCTTCTTTCCTCTTCTTTTTTTTAATACAGTCCCTAGATCAGGAAGCATGAATAAGCATTTTATTTGGCTTGAGGATATTGTGGTTATAAAATTCTCACCGTTCGTGTTGCCATGATGGTTTGAAGGCAAGGCGCGGGAATGGGAGCTACGCTCTAAACTTCACGGGTTCAGACAACTTTCTCTGACCAGTGATAGTCATCACTTTTTAACTGTGAGTACTTCTAGACTGACTCACAGGGAAAATGCTAAGTATATAATTTGGCTATTTTTTTTTAAATCACTGCCAATAACAGCTTAATATTCTTTTAGTTATGAGTGTTTGCTCCAAACTGAAGCTTAGGGGTTTGGTGGGACAGAGACTTTTGAACCAGGCACAGCAGAGCAGACCATCGACTTACTGAGATCTGTTTGTATTAGGTGCAGTTTTGGTAGGAGTTTAAAACAAAACTTTCTGGCCAAGAAAGGGAAGGGCTCCTCATTGTTTTTCCTGCTGTCCTGCCTTAGGGTAAAAATGAGCGCCAAACAATTGCATGTACTTCTGTTGACCCTAAATGAAGCCAGTATACTCCCTCAAAACTTGCATTGCCTTGTTGGAAGCCTCAGTAAAATTTTAAAATTAATTTGCAAAGCTACAGAATCCCTTTTGCCCCGTGCTGGCTCACCTGCTCGGGCAGGGCACTGCTGTTCTCTCTCCCTGCGACAGCGTAACTCTGCTTTCCTTCTACAGATAATAGAGCAAGTGATTTGGCAGTGGACTGAATGCCTCCCACCTCCCCCGGCTGAATCTGCAATAATCAATTTCTCTAACTTTTTTATTGATTCCTAATAAGCATAAAAAACTTCAAAAGTACATTTTTCTAGCCTACTCAAAAATGAAACTCTGAGCCCACTGTTTTATGATCAGCGAAGCTGCAGCAATTTGTAGCTGAGGCAAACTTGGAAGGGGAGAAAATTTCTACCTGCTCCCTCCCCTCACTTTGAAGCAATCCAAATTCCTTCAGAATGAAGGTAAAATACGTTTCAATCCTGCAAAAATACCCTAAAATTAGAAAACTGTTGATAAAATGTTATCATATAATCCTCTGTGACCAGATTCTCAAACTTATACATTATTAACACTCTTTGTCCATGTGATTTCCAAACTGAAATATATCCAGAGTATGGGCTTTTATTAAAGATATCTAACCAAAGCATTAAGGTTTTCTTACTGGCACAGTAAATGTGAATTTTAACAGAATTGTCTTATATTTTTAAAGGGAGGAAAAAACAATGCATAAATCTTTTGGGCTCTTCAAAAATATTCTACTTCAGGAGTCCTGCGAAAATTTTGTAATTCTTCATTCAGATTTTAATCGTGTCATTAAATGTAGTGATTTTGGTCGTAAAAAATATTTTCTAGATGGTAAGAGAGGAGCCGATCCTTTATTTGTATGAGTGTTTTTGAACTGAAGATGGAAAGGTTCCCTTTTGTTAGCAAATGTGGACAAACAGAAGAGTCCAGCTCCTTGAAATCTACAATCAGCAGCTCCTGCTAGCATGATAAAATCCAGCTAAACCTGTAAATGGGTCTTACCAAAGAGAAATGGTCCTTTTTGGAAAGGTTATCCATTTTGTTCTCGTAGGCTAACAAGGAAGTGTTACTTTCAATCAATTGTCAAAGTGAAGTGCTCTTGGTGCAAATAATTGGCAGCTTACGCGGCGCTGCCAGAGCAGGAGAGGGGTGAGCCTCCTGCACAGCCAGGCAGCGGGAAAGCCAAAGGTGCTACAGGCTGAACTCTGGCAGGCATGGCAAATGCTGCAGAGGTTTCCAGTAACAGAGATGTTTGGGGAAAAAAAACCAAAAACAAATATATTTCTTGTTTTCAAAAATAATCAATGTTTGAGCTGGAGTATGTCTCTTACATTGACCTTCTTGGGTTACTCAATTTTTCTCGCCAACTGAACTCGTTTAAGTTGTCTGCTTATTATCCTCAGGTTCATTTTGCTTTAATTCAGTTTCTTACTTTCAGGCTTGTTTTCCTTAGAACACAGTTGTTCCACTAATACACCAGCCTCTTCATGCATAATGGACCCAGTTTTCATTCTTGATAACTCCTTAACATCAACCATTTGTGGCAGGGGGACACAAGTCCTCAATCCTGTGTAAAACTGTCCCTCACTGGGACAGACTTCATGCCGCTCCTGTACCGCAGCTGTTACCAGGGGGCCAAATTTTCTTTTCTTTTTGAGACATTACAGCCTGGCTTTAGCAAGGTTTTGCTTGGGGCTGCAAAGGAGAAGGAAGGTATGCAGTCTAGCCTCGGACCTGAAAGTAATGTGTGATTGGGTACTTCAGGGACTGCAGGAAACAAGTAAATGTTTGAATGCAAAATACAGCTGGTGAATATTTTTTAGGACATTTTAATGTGCACTGTTCTTAAACTCACTGTTGTGCTTTAAAATGCATACTGGATATGAACATATGTGTGTGCATGTGAGGAAGTAGTTAAAAATATCGTGCTAATTTTTATCTAGGTGTGCATCAAAATCATAGCCTGAGTAATTCCTTAAAGATCTTTAGAAGACGTGTTTAGTGTTCATACGTAGCAGCCAACACAACGGGGTCTTGTGCAACCTTGCTTGTGATTCCTGCAGTTATCAGTGCTAATCTGAGCACCAAGAAGGATTTTTTTATGCCACGTCCAGAACATGCCAGATAGGGATTTAGACAGCACATCCCCAGCCATAACAACCCAGTGCATGAAACCCAGCTTTAAATTAGTAAAATATTTAAAGAGCAAGTTACATGTACATCATGACTTCCGAAAGGATTTAGCTGGTAAAGCAATATGTTACTGCCTCAGTACTACAGGAGGTATATTAAAAGGCTTAACTCTCTCAAAACAGCTCCACGGCATGGTATACACTGTATCTGGATGTAAATCTAGATAGGGATTTAAATATTTCTTTCACAACCTTCCCAAAATACAGTTTTGTTAAGTCTTATTTATATCTATTAAGAAAATAAAAGCTAGTCTCGATGCTTTTATGTGCTTTTGTCAAATAGTCTTCAATTTTAGCATTAAAGCTCCTTTTTTAAAACTTTTGGATGTGTTCCCAATATACATTTTACAATTTTTTTTTGCCATTTTAAAAATGTACTTTATCTATAAATAAAACTCCTTGAAACTGATAGAGGTTTATCATACAAGATATAATTTATTTTCAACTACATTTGCCATGTATTCACACTTAGTGAGGATTCATGTTGAGATAATTTTGGAAATTCATACCAAGACAAAAAATATAGTTAAAGTCTTAATGAAACATATTCTGTCTTCATAGGCTATAGCTACCAGGTCTTAATTTTCTGTAGCTTATTCTCTCTTTTTTAAAGTAGTTTGACTGGCACCGTATATCCAAAATATGATTTCTGTTCATAGATGATTTTCAGGATTAAAAACATGACAGCTTGAAAACAC